TAGACTGGATGCCCAGAATGGATCTGCCTTGTGTAGACACTGACCTACAGTGAATGCCCTGAGTGGGTCTGCCTCATGGAAACATTGTCCTAGATTTAATGCCCTAAGTGAGTCTGTCTTGTGGGGTCACTTTCCTAGAGAAAGTGATCTGAGTGGGCCTGCCATATGGAGACAATGTCCTAGAGTGAATGCCCTGAATGAGCCTACCTTGTGGAGACACTGTCCAAGAGTGAATACCTTGAATGAGTGCCATGTGGAGACATTGTTCTAGAGTGAATACCCTAAATGAGCCTGCCTTATGGAGACCCTGTCCTAGAGTGAATACCCTGAGTGTGTGCCATGTGGAGACACTGTCCTAGAATAAATGCCCTAAGTCAGCCTGCCTTGTGGAAATACTGTCCTAGAGTGAATGCCATGAGTAAGCCTGCTTTGTAAAGACACTTTTGTAGAGGAACTGACCTGCGTAAGCCTGCCTTGTGGAGAGACTGTCCTAGAGTGAATTCCCTAAAGCACGTCTGCCTTCTGGGGACACTTCCTATCCTAGAGAGATTTACCTGAGTGAGCCTGCCATTTGGTGACACTCTTCTGGAGATACTGACCTGAGTGAACATCCCATGTGGAGATACTGTCACAGAGTGAATGCCCTGAGTAAGCCAGCCATTTGGAGACACTGTCCTGGGGTGTAGACCCTGAGTGAGCCTGCCTTGTGGGGACATTTCCCTACAGAGACTGGCCTGAGTGAGCCTGCTATGTGGAGACATTGTCCCCAGAGTGAACACCCTGAGTGAGCCTGTCTTGTGGAGACCCTTTCCCACAAAGACCAACCTGAGTAAACTTGCCATGTGGAGACGCTGCCCTAGAGTGAATGCCCTAAGTTAACATTGCATATACAGAGATTACCCTGAGACAGTCTGCTGTATTAAGACTCGGTCCATGAGAGAACCTGCTAAATAGAAAGACTACCCTCAAGAGAAACTGTTTTGTGGACAGTCTGTGTGTGACATGAGCTTTTCCTGAGATCATTGTCTCACCCCCTTTCTTTACCAGGATACTTCCACTTACTCCAAGCTGAACACCTCTATCTTTTGTGTGGCTCCCTCCTTTTATTGCCATATGACAACAGCTATATTTACTGATTTTATTTTTTTAAATTATTTTATGACTCTACGTATGAAATGCAATCTGGAAAATTTAAGAATACACACTGTGGTGGTTCTGATTACTATGTTTTTTTCCATTAGTTTTTTCTAATAATTAATTTATTCTGATAAGTCACATTATTATTCTATTCTTACACTGAGCATTTCTACAATAGGATCCTCTGATTTCAGTTTGTATATCATGTTAGTAATTTGTAATCACTAGGTGATAATTATATATTTTCTTGGAATGATACACCAGTTCGATGAAGTATAATATTCACTTAGGGAGGTAGCTGTTTTTTCTTGCTTTATCTCAGCTTTGCAACTAACAAAAACACCAAGATGTCAAAATCTTCATCTTGGAGAAGTGAAACTCCTCTAACAAATTTAGCTGCATTGATCATCATACATACAGTGCGTAGACTGCTTGATATCTTCTGATTTGCTAGATTATATTTTGAGAAGGCAAATATTATTGCACATTCTTGAACTAGGTTGCTGTTTTTATTGTAACTGCTTATTACTATTGTACTAAAGATGCTTCCTTTGTGCAATTTGGCTGCTCATTAGAAAAACTGCTGTGTAGTGAGAATCTCGGAGTAGATGTCCATGTAACTTTATGCCAACAACAAATCTAATTTTAGTTACAATTAGTTTATTGCTCTCATTAACAGCGCTCTAGTTCACTGAGCAGTGCTGTTGAATGGAGCAGTATACTTGGGGAGTGTTGGTCTGCTGGCACGTAAGGCTGGCCATACAATATACAATTTTCTTGTTCAATTTCCTTTAGATTTACCATCAACTATGTAGTGCAAGGACCTGTCTGATTCCATACAACTTGAAAGTGTTAGGTTTGAACTCATATTATATAGTTTTGGAAATTCTAAAGGAAAATTGTACAGGGAACTTGTATAATGTATGGCCAGTGTAAGAGCAGAGGTCTGACTCTCAGACATGCTGCCAGCACAGGGCATTTTAAATACTGTGGGATACAAAGGGAAGAGAGTACAGAAGTGCAAGAGCCATCATGGTGTAGTAATTGAAAACCAACAATTTATTAAAACAACATAAAATGCACTCACAAGAGATGCAACCATGATGACAGGGACCGCCCACGTCTGATGTTACTGCTGAAGCATGCGCAGTTGGGTTGTGTTTCAAGATAAAGTACACCCAGAGAGAGCAAGGGGGATAAAAAGGATTTGAAACATTCTTACAGATGATGATGATAACAATAATGAATGATAAATAACAGCTGGTTGGATCAGCTCACATAAGTTTTATTTGTGGTGTTATTTTGCATTCATTTATTATCATCATGATCTATAAGTACTTTTCATCTTAGTTTGATCCCCTTGCTCTCTCTGGGTGTACTTTATGGCACTCCCTCCATCTTCAGCCACCAGGGTCTCTGTTTAGGCATATCATTCCTTCGGGGTTCCCTTGGGGCTCCTGTATTTGCTGCTGTTTTTCCTTCAGCCAGGAGCTCCAATCTGGAAAGCCGACTAGGTAATACCCTTATATATAAGTGTAGCCTCCTAGCAGTCTGGCTGATGAAGTGGTGCACATGTCTTGAAACGCGTCCTGACCGCATGATCCAAGGGTGAAGTCAGACGTAGGTGGTCCCTGTCATTATGGCTGCATCCCCATTGGACAGACGAGTCCCATATTGCACACAGTGTTATCTGGCACCTTCACCATCTCCAGTCTCTGTCAGATGTAGAGATTCTTCTCCTTGAGGCTGCTGTTCCCTGCTGCTGCAGTACCCACTTTCACTGTCTACCAAATGGTTACTCTTGTGAGTGCATTTTATCTTGTTTTTAAAGCAGAACTAAACCCATTGATTTAATGGTTTAAAAACAAAATTATGTTCCTGGCATGCTAACTGTTACATATGCTTGTGCTTGCAACCAAACTGTCAAACCATCAAATGGCTGGGGTCATAACTGATCACATGTGCAGCATCATGGCAGTTGCAGATCAAACCAAGGCTAAGAGGGCGGCTTCCTTGGCTGAAAAGGATAGAAGGGTTTAGTTCCTCTTTAAAGCACAACTTTACCCATAACAACCTGATAAAACAAATATGTTCTTTAGCAAGGAACATACATTCCACATTAATAATGATGCTACCAAAATTAGTGTACTGTAAATTGACTCCAGCATTGTTCATGTTTCTTCTTGGTGGAGGCTGCTATTTTTCTGAACCCAAGAGCCCTTGAACAGCAGTAAATCATAAAGTGGAACTAAACCCAACGATTTAACGGTTTCAAAAAACAGTTACATTCCTGGAATGTCGCAATTGCTAACTGTCACATTTTCTTGTGGTCTCAACCAAACTGTCAAACCGTCAAATGGCTGGTGTTGTAACTGATCCCATGTGCCGTATTATGGCAGTTGTGGATCAAACAGAAACAGCTTTCTTGGCTGTAAAAGCTGTCAGCAGATCAGCTACAAATTTGGCAGTGCCTAAAAATGGAGAGCAACTGAGCATGTGCAGAGCTAGGTGAGACAGTGTAGTTTATTATCTAAAGATGGAGAGTGCAAAATCTGGTGTAGCTCTGAATAGAAACCAATCAGCTCCCAGGTTTTATTCCCAAAGCTTAATTGAACAAGCTGAAGCAGGGGCGGACTGACAACTCATGGGGCCCCCGGGCAATAGGGAATCATGGGGCCCCTGTATCCTCACCCACACTCAAAAAAGCCAATGAAAAAGGTACAAGGGGCATCTCATGGGGCCCCCTACTGACCCCGGGCCCTCAGGCAGTGCCTGAGTACTTGAATGGTCAGTCCGCCCCTGAGCTGAAGTTAGAAGCTGATTGGCTACCATGCAGATCTGCACCAGATTCTGAGTTCTCAAGTTTTAGTAAATCTACCTCAGTGTATTACTGGATTTAAAACAGTATAGACACTTATTTTTAATGTTTAACATTTAATGTTTTAGTGCTTGTCCACTCTCTTCCCGTTGTGCATTTCAGACGGAGTATCCTCTCCTGATCCACGAGCTGCAGTGTCCACCTATAATCACAACAATCCTTTGTCTAGTTTTGGGCTACCCAGTTAGTACTTTTTATTGTTTTATCATTGTTATATTTCACACCATTGGTTCATGATAATACACTGGTTTACACTATTGTACTGGTTACTACTACTTGATTGAGGAAGTTTGGCAATCAACAGATTCTATCTGAAGGCCATTACCCTGCTGGGGTAGGCTTCGATCATTACACTTTGCTTTGCCCACCCATCCAGGTGCTGCTGATTTGAGTGCTGTGTCCTCAGTGGCTCCACTGAGGTTAATTTCTTTCATTTTACATACTGTACTTAGTACATAAAAAATACAAAGGACATAGAGTGTATTTATTACTGTATATACTGCCTTATTGTAATATGGTTATAAATACTAAGGTGTACTTTTATCAAGCAGTGGTAAATTACCGCTGCTGAGTTCTCTGGCATTCTCAGAGGACACAGCTCTCATCTGAGCAGCTATTTATGAAACGGTGTAGATCGCTTCTCCTAATGAGGAGTGATGTAATCTACAAGTGCCTTGAACTCTGGAAAACGGCTACTGTTGCTGTATTATCGAGAGAGATATAGCGAGCTTACAGCAACAAGAGATCAGTAAAACACACAGCCGTGGGTTTATTAAGTAGCAGTGGATTATTGATATTGAGTTGGCAGCTCTCCTCAGTACACACAACTACACAACGATGTACAAAAATAATATATATACACAAATAACACACACACACATATATACTATATTGCCAAAAGTATTGCGACACCCCTCCAAATCATTGGATTCAGGTGTTCCAATCACCTCCATGGCCACAGGTGTATAAAATCAAGCACCTAGGCATGCAGACTGCTTCTACAAACATTGTGAAAGAATGGGTCGCTCTAAGGAGCTCAGGGAATTCAAGTGTGGTACCGTGATAGGTTGCAACCTGTGCGATAAATCCATCCATGAAATTTCCGTGCTACTAAATATTCCACGGTCAACTGTTGGTGGTATTATAACAAAGGGGGAGCAACTGGGAACAACAGCAACTCAGCCATAAAGTGGTAGGACATGTAAAATGACAGAGTTAGGTCAGCGCATGCTAAAGTGCACAAGTCGCCAACTGTCTGCAGAGTCAATAGCTAAAGACCTTCAAACTTTGTGTCGCCTTCAGATTATTATTATACAGTATTCATATAGCGCCAAAAGGTTTGCTCAGTGCTGTACATTATAGTGGGGGACAGTACATGAGACAATACAGTAACAAAACAATACATGAGGGGTTCGGGGCCCTGCTCTTTTGAGCTTACAATCTAGGAGCACAACAGAGCGTAGAGAGCTTCATGGAATGGGTTTCCATGGCCGAGCAGCTGCATCCAAGTCTTACATCACCAAGTGCAATGCAAAGCGTTGGATGCAGTGGTGTAAAGCATGCTGCCACTGGACTCTAGAGCAGTGGAGATGTTCTCTGGAGTGACGAATCATGCTTCTCTGTCTGGCAATCTGATGGACCTGTCTGGGTTTGGCAGTTGCCAGGAGAACTGTACTTGCCTGACTGCATTGTGCCAAGTGTAAAGTTTGGTGGAGTGGGGATTATGGTGTGTGGTTGTTTTTCAGGGGTTGGACTTGGCCCTTAAATCCATTGAAGGGAAGGGCGTTAATACCAAGACATTTTGGGAACAGTTTGTGGATGGCCCCTTCCTGTTCCAACATGACCGCGGACCAGTGCATAAAGCAAAGTACATAGAGACATGGATGAGCGAGTTTGGGGTGGAGGAACTTGACTGGCCTGCACAGAGTCCTGACCTGAACCTGATAGAACACCTTTGGGGGGAGTTAGAGCGGAGACTATGAGTCATGCCTTCTCGTCCAATATCAGTGCCTGACCTCACAAATGCACTTCTGGAAGAATGGTCAAACATTCCCATAGACACACTCCTAAACCTTGTGGACAGCCTTCCCAGAAGAGTTGAAACTGTTATAGCTGCAAAGGTTGGGCCAACTCAATATTGAACCCTACGGACTAAGACTGGGATGCCATTAAAGTTCATGTGTGTGTTAAGGTAGGTATCCCAATACTCTTGGCAATATAGTGTGTATGTGTGTGTGTGTATATATATATATATATATATATATACAGTCATGGCCGAAATTGTTGGCACCCTTGATATTTTTCCTGAAAATCAAGTATTTCACACAAAAAAGGTATTGCATTAACACATGTTTTGCTATACACATGTTTATTCCCTTTGTATGTATTGGAACAAATATAAAACAGAGGCAGAAAAGCAAATATGACATAATGTCACACAAAACCCCAAAAATGGGCTGGACAAAAGTATTGGCACCCTTAACTTAATATTTGGTTGCACACCCTTTGGAAAACATAACTGAAATCAGTCGCTTCCTATAACCATCAATAAGCTTCTGACACCTCTCACCCGGAATTTTGGACCACTCTTCCTTTGCAAACAGCTCCAGGTCTCTCTTATTGGAAGGACACCTTTTCCCAACAGCAATTTTAAGATCTCTCCACAGGTGTTCAATGGGATTTAGATCTGGGCTCATTGCTGGCCACTTCAGAACTCTCCAGCGCTTCTTTGCCATCCATTTCTGAGTGCTTTTTGACGTATGTTTGGGGTCATTGTCCTGCTGGAAGACCCAGGATCTTGGACGCAAACCCAGCTTTCTGACACTGGGCCCTACAGTGCGACCCAAAATCCTTTGGTAATCCTCAGATTTCATGATGCCTTGCACACAGTCAAGGCACCCAGTGCCAGAGGCAGCAAAACAACCCCAAAACATCATTGAACCTCCACCATATTTTACCGTAGGTACTGTGTTTTGTTCTTTGTAGGCCTCATTCCGTTTTCGGTAAACAGTAGAATGATGTGCTTTACCGAAAAGCTCTATCTTGGTCTCATCTGTCCACAAGACGTTTTCCCAGAAGGCTTTTGGCTTACTCAAGTACATTTTGGCAAACTGTAGTCTTGCTTTTTTATGTCTCTGTGTCAGCAGTGGGGTCCTCCTGGGTCTCCTGCCATAGTGTTTCATTTCATTTAAATGTCGACGGATAGTTCGCGCTGACACTGATGCTCCCTGAGCCTGCAGGACAGCTTGAATGTCTTTGGAACATGTTTGGGGCTGCTTATCCACCATCCGGACTATTCTGCGTTGCAATCTTTCATCAATTTTCCTCATCCGTCCACGACCAGGGAGATTAGCTACAGTGCCATGGGTTGCAAACTTCTTGATAATGTTGCGCACTGTGGACAAAGGCAAATCTAGTTCTCTGGAGATGGACTTGTAACCTTGAGATTGTTGATATTTTGCCACAATTTTGGTTCTCAGGTCCTCAGACAGTTCTCGTCTCCTCTTTCTGTTGTCCATGCTTAGTGTGGCACAGACAGACACACAATGCAAAGGTTAAGTGAACGTCTCTCCTTTTTATCTGCTTTCAGGTGTGATTTCTATATTGCCCACACCTGTTACTTGCCCCAGGTGAGTTTACAGGAGCATCACATGCTTGTAACATTCTTATTTATCCGCAGTTGTGAAAGGGTGCCAATACTTTTGTCCAGCCCATTTTTGGAGGTTTGTGTGACATTATGTCGAATTTGCTTTCTTTCCTCCCTTTTTTTGTTTTGTCCCAATACACACAAAGGGAATAAACATGTGTATAGCAAAACATGTGTTAATGCAATACGTTTCGTGAGAAATACATGATTTCCTGGAGAAATATCAAGGGTGCCAACAATTTCGGCCATGACTGTATATATATATATAGTGTTTCTAAACTGCTCTAAGGTTTTGGGGCATTGTTAAAGGCAAGGGGGGCTTTTCCACTGTCTTGGAGGCTCTGAATAAAAAACAAGCCCAAAAACCTCCTCCTTCCTCCTTAGTACTCCAGCGATTCACTCTTCTCTCCCGATTCTCCACCTATGGGCTGGAGAATCTGGGAGGGAGAATTTTCACACAGATCATCAGTGAAGGGCTGACATCGCACCTTCATAAACTGGCCATTTCTGTTTCTGTCAGTGACAGATTCTCTGTTTGTGCTCATAAGATCAGTGGAGAACATGTTCTCCGTTGATCATCACTGTTTCATAAACCACTAATGAAAGGAGATCATAAACAGACATTAGAGAATTTATTTTTGCTTTAAAATGTTGTAAACTTTTTGTCAAAAACAACCAAAACTCTATGGATAACTACTTTCTGAAAAAGAATGCAGTCTGGGTCTAATCTGCATTTGTGCAATGGGTTTTCTCACTTCTTATAGTTACTACATACAACAAAGTACTAACTTGCAGTATCACATTTTGCAGGAAGGTATTTGAATGTGTTTCGTGGAACAGTTTAAAAATATATAGGTGAAGTAAAAACAAAGAAAAAAAAGTCAATACAGTGACAAATAAATCATCCGAAAATGAATAATGTCTTTTCAGGATTCACCTGAGAGTGTACTTAGGGTAGTTCGATGAAATGCAAAGGAAATCTATATAAGTGAAAAAGTAACTTATTATTTGCGGTTGATAAGTGCCAGAGCTAGGTAGCAATTGGTACCTAGGTAGCATCATCGCAATACTACATAAAAGAATGTAACACATACTCCAGGGGTGTTGTACTAGAAGTGTGATTTAACAATGAATTTAGAATTAAACTCTATATTGACAGTGGATGTCTATGCACAATAGCAAATTTCTAAAAATATATGGTAAAAGATAAAGCAAGAATATTATACAACGGTTTCTATGAGAAAATATGGCTCTACCATCTAAAAATAGATGGCTACAGCTTATTTTGGCCATACTCCTCTTCTGGGTCACAGGAGTGCACTTACGTTTGCTCTCCTGTGACCCAGAGTCAGCTTATAGATAGCCCGCTATCAGGTGACATCACAGAGCTGCCCCAGGCTCTGGAAGGATCCTGACCATATTGTCGTGATTCACCCAGCTGCCTGATTGACATCTGGCTCCGGCTCTCAGAGCCGAAGCCAGCTATGCCCCTCCACAGCCTGGTGCTCCAATGAGCGCTGGAGGGGAACAGCAGGGGGGGTCATTCCCTAGGGCCCACCCACTGGCTGTCCCACCGAATCCACCCACTGGCCATCCCACCGAGTCCTTCATTGCATCCACTATTATTTTAATACTCTTACAACTAAATATATGAAGATGAAAAGTGTATTCCAAGCCATCAGTGCTTGCTTCAGTTGGCGGACAGATGGTCGTACGTCTTCCTGCAAAATGTCTTGATAAACTCTGGAATTCATTTTCCCATCAATGACAACAATCCGTCCAGGCCCTGAGGCAGCAAAGCAGCCCCAAACCATGATGCTCCCTCCGCCATTTTTTTACAGTGGGGATGAGGTTTTGATGTTGGTGTGCTGTGCCTTTTTTTTCTCCACACATAGTGTTGTGTGTTCTTCCCAAACAACTCAATCTTGGTTTCATCTGTCCACAGTATATTTTGCCAGTAGTGCTGTGGAACATCCAGGTGCTCTTTTGCAAACTTCAAACGTGCTGCAATATTCGTTTTGGACAGCAATGGCTTCCTCCATGGTGTCCTCCCATGTACTCCATTCTTGTTTAATGTTTTCCTTATTGTAGATGTGTCAACAAAAATGTTAGCATGTGCCAGAGATTTCTGTAGGTCTTTAGCTGACACTCTGGGATTCTTCTTTACCTCATGCAGCATTCTGCGCTGTGCTCTTGCAGTCATTTTTGCAGGACGACCACGCCTAGGGAGAGTAGCAACAGTGCTAAACTTTCTCCATTTGTAGACAGTCTGTCTTACCATGGACACATGAACATCAAGGCTTTTGGAGACACTTTTGTAACCCTTTCCAGCTTCATGCAAGTCAACAATTCTTGATCGTAGGTCTTCTGAGAGCTCTTTTCTGTGAGGCATGGTTCACATCAGACAGTGCTTCTTGAAACCAGTAAACCCAAAACAGGTGTGTGTTTTTTAAGAGCAGGACAGCTGTCAGCAACACATCCAATATCATCACACTGATTGGAGTCAAGGTTGGCTCACTCCTGGCTCCAATTAGCTCTGGGAGAAGTCATTAGGCTAGGGCCTCACATACTTTTTCCTCCCTGCACTGTGAATGTTTACATGTTGTGTGCAATTAAACCATGGCAACATCTAATGTTTGTGTAGTATTATGTTCAGCCGACTGTGTTCTTCTATTGTTGTGATTTAGATGACGTTCAGAGCACATTTTATGCCCAATTCATGCAAAACTCCACGTAATCCCAAGGGGTTCACGTACTTTTTCTTGCAACTGTATACTACTTTTTTGCTGTCATAGATGTATTTTTGACACTTCGGCCTGCAAGTCAAAATAATTATATGAGTTTATGCTCATTTTTTACCAATAGGAAAGACACTGAAATACTAATGTGCAATAGCATGTTTTATCTATTACGCTTTTAGAAAATATAACAAACGATAGTGAATGTACAATATATGTAAATTGATGGCATTCTATAAGTATCAGGAATAATGGTAGGTGTTACATACAGTTGCAAGAAAAAGTATGTGAACCCCTTGGGA